ATTTGGCTTTTGTGGCGGAGCAACCTTGAGTACTGGGACCTGCCTGAAGTAGCGATTGCAGTGCGGTGTGAAGCCTTACTGTCGGCCCCCAAGCCGAAACCAGCACCTCTAAACCGCTACCTCCCCCTTTTTCCTCGCCCAACCAGCAAACCCTCAATCCCAAGCCCAAAGCCACCGCCGCCCTACACCACCCTGGGACAAGCTCTGAGGGTGGAGTAATAATGTTCAGTGAGGCCTTCTGCTGCGGCGATCGTCCCGAAGGCTGTTCAGGCGAGGGTTCGTTTTCGGGTTTTGGAGTTTAGGGTTGGGGCTTAGGGTTCACGTTTTGGGGGTTCAGCGTTCAGGTTTTGGGGTGTGCGGTACATGTTCAGGTGTTTAGGGTTCATGTTTTGGGGTTGTGGGTTGAGAGTTCAAGTTCTGGGGTTTAGCGTGCGGGTTTCGTGATTTAGGGTTTGGTTTCATTTTTTGTGGGGTTTTGGGGTGCAGGCTTCGAGGTTTAGGATTCAGGGTTGGGGGTTTGGGAACTTTGTTTTTTGGGTGTGGGTTATATCGGGGTCATAGTTCTCTTGTTTTCGTGTAAGATATGGACCAAGAGAGACAAGGAGCAGACCTTCGAAGAACCGAAGCATCCGCGTTTGGGGTCTGAGGTGCCAGTTAGAGGATTTGGGGTTCAGAGGTTGCGGTTTAGGCTCAAATACCTCAACTATTGTGTGTGCTCCTTGATCAGTGTTGTCGAGCCCGGAAAGCTCCCCCGTCGTCATCCCAAAGCAATCTTTCGGCCGTTTATCTGGAATCCAACGCCCAATGCCCAGAACACGTATGTCCAAACATCCTGGCTTCCGGCCACCAGGCCGCTGACCTCTCGTCGACTGCTGACGCCCCTGTCAAGACTGCACCGCCTTTGCCTGCGAAGAAGCTGGGAGCTGGGCTGGAGTTTGGGATCCGGGTTATATATGTGCCTTTTGTGGCAGATGTTTCTGTGGAGGATAGGCGCATGTAGCGATATATTATGGGCCCTTGCTTGGGCACAGTTTGGCACGCCATCATCAGGACAAGTTGTTGTTCAGGCAAGAATGTTGAACGATCTAGGCTAGGATCCCTAGACTTTGCTACGTCATGATTCAAGCCAAATAGGTTGGTCCAGTTAATTTCATCTACAGCATAGCGGGTAGTCAGTTGCCAAAGTTTTGCACACATGAACACTCCTGCTCACGAATGGTGCAAGATTTCCAGAAGCATGAGAAGTGCTAGCATCCAGCTTCGGGTTTCTTTTTCGTTGGACTCATCCGTGGTTAGTTGGAAAGTGAATGTGGGCTCTTGGGAGTATGAGAAGGGAATTATCTGTGGGTTTTATAGGTTCTACAGCAAGCAGGGGCTAACCCCACACCTCACATCCTGCACTCCCCCCTACACTTTTACCTCATTTCTCAACCCGCCTAACAAATCAACCCTTAAATCCCTCAAAGCACAAAGCACCTCCCAACAATCAATGCAACAATCCCGAAACAAAGCAACCTACCAAACCCAATACAACAATCCAAAACACAACCCAAAACCCAAACAACCTAAA